GCCACCTTAGGTGTATGTGGCTGGCGCCTTAGCCGGTTGAGCCACAGGCGCCGAGCCAGGATCCTGATTCTTAAAAAAGAAATCCCATGGTCAGAAGTTCAAAATTAGAAAAATCAATTGTAGAGGCTGGGTGTGGTGGTGAGCACCTGTAATCCTAGCACTCTGGGAGGCCAAGGCAGGTAGATTGCTCTAGCTCATGAGTTTGAGACCAGCCTGAGCAAAAGCAAGACCCTCATTTCTACCAAAAATAGAAAAACTAAGTCAAGAGGATCGCTTGAGCCAAAGAGTAGAAGGATGCTGTGAGCTATGATGCCATAGCAAGGCAATAGCTTGAGACTATGTCTCAAAAAAAAAAAAAAAAAAGGCCAAGAACAGCCAAGAAGTTTTGAAGAAAAAGCCCCTTCCAAACCCAGTAAACAAAGTGAAGAGATTTGTTCTATCAGATCTCAAGACTATTTTCAAATGATTTTAAATATCTAAATATAAAAATAACTGGGTCTTGTGTTGAGCGCCTATAATCCCAGCTACTTGGGAGGCTGAGGCAAGAGAATTTCTTAAGTTCCAGAGTTGGAGTTTGCTGTGAGCTGTGATGCCATAGCACTCTACGGAGGACAATGAAGTCAGACTCTGTCTCAAACAAAACAAAACAAAAAACCTAAATACAGAGCAAAGTTATAAAGTGCTGAGGCACTACAGACACCCACCATAACACCTGACAGGTTTTTCTTTTTTGAGACAGAGTCTCACTATGTCACCCTCGGTAGAGTGCCGTAACATCACAGCTCACAGCAACCTCAAACTCTTTGGCTTACGTGATTCTCTTGCCTCAGCCTCCCAAGTAGCTGGGACTACAGGTGCCTGCCACAGGCATGGCTATTTTTGTTGTTGTTGTCATTGTTTGGCAGGCTCGGGCTGGGTTTGAACCCGCCAGTTCTGGTGTACATGGCTGGCACCCTAGCCACTTAGCTGCAGGCACCGAGCTGAAGTTTTAGAATTTATTTTGGAAGAAGGTGGTTGGTTTTAATTGACCACCATACACTGTGCACCCACTGATGTCAGTTGCTGTGCCTAGGTGTTCTAAACAGGTGCACTTTAGAGATTAAAGATTTTTTTTTTTTGGAAGCAAAACAGTATCAGCTCAGATTAAAAAATAAACTTCTTTTTGAATTTTGTGCATGTAAAGGAAGAAATTGGAAACCAGTTTCTCTTTCCCCTAAGTCCTTCTTCAATTTTGCTATTTACATAAAGGCTTAACATAGAATGAGCAGGAAATCTTGAACCGAGTGGTTCTCACGTACCTGGAGGATGTCGGCAGGCTTGTTTATGTGTTCTTTAAAGATCAGCAGGCTGGGGGTGTGGAAATGGATGTTGTACAGCCTCGTCATCTCCTCCGCCCCTCGCAAACCCACATACACATATCCAAAGGATAAATAATCTTTGTGGGCAAAAGCAATCAACTGTTAGGGTAGAATAAACAGGAAGAAAAATGAAATTTGTAACACAGCATCCAAAAACTCAAACCAAGGGCCACTTGCTCACGTCCCTGGGTGGAGACCGAAGTCTGCTCACACAGTTCCTCCAGGTCCTTCACACGCTGTACGCATCCAGGAATTCTACGGTGTTCCATGCCCCCAAAGTGTACCAACACATAAATACAAATATTTCTTATTTTGCACAGATAAAGCAAAATAATCTTATTGAGATTTGCACTGGGTGGGAGGCATGGGTTTGGGGAATTACTGGTATCCCAATTGGGAAAGATGGCAGGGACTATGCCAGTGGCCTGAAAACCTTGTTCTCCCATCTCATGTCATAGTAATAAGGTCCAGAGGTGTGCTGGACGTGTGGTAGGGGCATCATTCAGAGGGCAGGTTTGGAGTCAGACAGGCTTAAACGGGAATTGCATACTCACAAGGGGGCAGTGAGACCTTATCTTATACAACCATCCTAAGCCTCGGTGTCTTGGTCTATGAAATAGGGATAATATCTTTATAGCTGGGTTCTTCTGAGGATTAAGTGAAACGTATATGCATGGAAAGCCCCAGCACAGCAACTGACATCAGTGGGTGCACAGTGTATGGTGGTCAATTAAAACTTCTGGTCTTCAAACATGTATCATGGAATACACTGTTACTCACAAAAAAGACAAACAGGTGACAAGCTCTAATTCAGAGACTACTTTCTACCTGCAAAGGGGAAAACATCTTGCCAGCACAGAAAGTACCTTGTATAGCAGCGGCACAGTGGGGATTTGGTCAAACAGAAGCACATGAGGTTTATTCTCCTGCTGCCAGCCAGAGAGGAATCGGACGTAATTTTTATTTGTAACCTGAAGTTGAAAGCAGAATGTTAGTCTCAAAATTTCTTTCTTTTTTTTTGGTTGAGACAGAGTCTCACTTTGTCACCCTTGGTAGAGTGCTGTGGTGTCACAGCTCATAGCAAACTCAAACTTTTGGGCTCAAGCGATTCTCCTGTCTCAGCCTCCCAAGTAACTGAACTACTTTTTTCTTTTTTTTTCAGACAAAGTCTCACTCTGCTGCCCAGGCTAGAGTGCTACGGCATCATTTTAACTCACAGCAACCTCAAACTCCTGGGTTCAAGTGATCCTTCTGCTTCAGCCTCTCACATAGCTGGACTACAGGTGCCTGCCACAATGCCCAACCAAATTTTCTATTTTTAGTACAGAGTGGGATCTCACTTTGCTCAGGTAGGTCTCGAACTCCTGAGCTGAAGGGATATCCTGCCTTGGCCCATATAATTTCCCTACTAAAAACAGAAAAAAAAAAAAAACTGAGGCAAGAGGATCGCTAGAGCCCAAGAGTTAGAGGTTGCTGTGAGCTATGACACTCTATGGAAGGTGACGAAGTGAGATTTTGTCGGGAAAAAAAAAAAAAGAGTAAGATGGTCTTATTCCATCTATATACTGCATAATTTCATTTATTGCCATCAGAATTATTACTTTTTCCCTGTTTATGTCTTTTTTTTTTTTTTTTTTT